TGTCTATTCTAGAAACAAAATAACGGTACAGTTATTATTTAGAATAGATAAATCATCCACAATACTTGATGAAAAAAGAGAAAATACAGAAAATATGAAAAATTACAAAAAGTTACAAAATTATTCAGGAAAAATACTTTCTGGGCTCCCTATACAGCCCACTCAGCATTTTAAGGGTTAAAAGACACCTAGAGCATAGTGCTCTCTATCCCTTTAATTTAAGAATCACTGGTTTACCAACAGGGTTCTGTTTAGCAGAGCTACTTTGATATTTGGAATATAAGAAAAGTTTCAAAAAACTTACAAAAATCGCCTGCAAGTTAATTGCAACATTATTTGAAGTATACGCCTCTCTAAAAAGAATTCTTTCTTTCCGCGCCTCTCTATCTTTTAACCCTTTGCACTCGGGAGGCGACTCTTAGTCACCACTTGATTTGACGTGGTAAAACTATAAAATCTGATAGTTGATGTTGAACTTTGTATAATGTTGATACGTGAAATATTGGAAGAAAATAGCTTTGTTGCTCAGTGTACGCGTGATTTCTTTTTGAGTTCATTTAAACGAATATCGTCTGTGTCTAGTTAGAGAACGTTAAACGTTTCTAGTGAGAGACTTCCGAGTGCAAAGGGTTGATAGATATAATAATATAGACGCGTTTGAAATAACAACTTTATTACAAAATAAACATTACTTCACTGAATTTGTACTGTTACGATATGAAGCTCATTTATTCCTGGAAGAATTTGCATGGTGTAGAGTACATCTAGAATTTTTGTGTTTTACTGCATTATCAACCCCTTGTCTCACGATTGAATTTCGTAGGTGCATTTGTTAGAACAAAACAATAATGTATATCCAACAAGAACAATAATGTATCATTGAAACGTATAAAAACTCAATGACATTTATGTTCGGACCATATTAGAAATCTTCGCCTCGTGTCTGACACAATAAGACAATGGGTAAACGATAAACAGTCGCAACAAGTGCACCAAATCATGAACCAACCGATCAAGAGAATCTAAATTATTGAAAATTCGCGTTCTCAGCGGTTGAGGTTAGGTCACCGCAGTCCCGGTGCGCGGCGGGCCCCCCGGCCAGCCTTATTACTCATCCTCTCCGCGTTTCTTTGTCTCGAATTTTAATTGTTTAATTTCTATTCTCTCCCATCCCGTTCTTTGTCGTCGCCGGGACGGTACAATGGGAGGCGTTATCGTCATTGTTACCCGCCGCCGGTGGACAACGGACGAAAACACGCGGAGGTAAAGTTTGTCGCGCGAAAGGAAATAAAGCTGCGATTCCGCGTCGAGGACAGAAAAATGTCCCCTTGTCGCGCGCGGCGGGAAGGGTCGTGTTGCATCGGTCGATGCAGCAGAAGCAACCGTGCGCCGATAAAACTAACATGCCACCCCACCGCCGCCGCCGCCGCCGCCGCCACCCTCGACCGACCCCCTCACGAACGTTCGCGGAATAATTGGATCGGTTTTTGCAGCTGTGAATCACGAGCAACGACAATCGGAGGAGCAAGACTTTTTCGTCCCCCCGGAGGCATTTCTGGGACACATATCGCGCTATGCCCCGCTTGGCGCTTCGTTTCGCGAACCGTATCTTCTCCGGGAACGCCATCTTTTTTTCCTATATGCCTCTTATCATCCTTTTTTCTTGAACCCGCCGGTTCTACGCCTATGCGCCTCGAGGTGTTTGGGAAGCAACGTTTCCACGGAATTCGTTGCAGTAATAGTGGGATTTTTTATTAGTTTTCTATTCCTTTCTATGGGTATTGTAAATAATTTTGGGGTGATGATTATTTCTTGGCAGTGTGAGGTACGAAGGACTCTGGGATCTTTTATTATTTTTATGTTTTTTTGTTGATCTTTTAAATAAAATGTTAAGTTACACTCAAGTTATTACTCATTCTCATATATTTTGATATTGTAAAACTATTTCCTTACAAAAATTGGCGTGTACCATTGTGCACGTGTCACTGAACCTTTAACCCTTTGAACTCTATAGACTCCAATATTGCACCAGTCCTAATATTAAATATTTCAATGAATCTTAAAGAAACCACCTAAAATTATTCGATTTTCCGCACGTCCAAATTTTCTAAGAAGGAAAATAAATGATCGACGAAATGTTATATTTCTCATTTTCGCTAGGAATACTAAAATTAGTTGCAGTTGCTGATAGATTACAAAACAACCTGCAGTGCCAAGGGTTAAACTCCATTTTCAATAATCTACCGTCTTTCCTTATTTATAATTTTAGTATTATCCTCTGAAGCGGTTTTTGTTTCAAAACAACCTGCAGTGCCAAGGGTTAAACGCTCGGCAGTGCCAGCGTTAGTGTTCCACGGGAAAAAATGCGGGACGTGCCGGATCGGTCGGCGGAAGGTTAAAAGGCTGTCAATTCAATGGAATTCTCAGCTCGCCGCTGTGAACGGTGTTGCGCAAACACGCGTGAGAACGGCTTCGTATTCCAGCGATTCATCGGCGGCCGGCTCGCGATTATCGCTGTCACGCTCCGATTGTTCGTCGCTCAGAGAGTTTTCCTTCGGAAACACGGCGAAGTTCTGAGCTGCCTCCCCGTTTGCACGGAACAATCCCACGATTTCCGGTGACTATCCTCTCTGGAAGCGGACGGGGTATTCACCGATAACTCTTTCGGCGAGGCGAATCCATCCATCATCCTCTTTTCCAGCGATAAGACGAAAGTCTCGTCGATCGACCGTTCGACGTGGATAGTTTTCAAGGGAAGCGTAACTGAAATCCCGTAATAGTTTATGCCGAAGCTGCGTGTTCGCTGGAAACAGGGGGAATCCCGATTATCATTCAAATAGTTGCCATGGAGGCCTACCAAGGGCCCCATGGGCTTGAGATTGAGATCAGCTCCTTGCCTTATGAGTTCCTTCTGAACTGTGATCGGACTAACTACTTTGTTATTATTCCTTTTAGTTAAAGAGCTAACCCCTTGGTCTATGATTTCTTCCTCAACTCTGATCGATGCGGCTACTGTCATTAACCCCTTGACGTACTATTTACTTTCGTTACTAAGCTCGTGTAATATTTTACTATCGACAATTTCTAAGAAATACAACAAAATTTTCTATTCTACTTCAGGTGGAAATTTCATTTGAAGATAATGTATAGTACATTGATAATAGCAAAATAGTTGTTTGCTTTGATCCGTGGGTAATGAACACCATTGATTCTTATTAAATTAGTTTAGAAATCTTCATCACGAGTCTCACTCATTGTACGGCAAGGGGTTAATAATTTACTGGAAAAGGAGAAAAATTCTAAACATACGTTATGCCTACATTTCCTAAGTATAATAGTTGATTACAGAGGATATTTACTTTAAATTCGAATGAACTGAGTAATATATATTTGTTGAATCATGTTGAAGATCTTCACCATGAGTCTGACTCGTAGGACAAGTTAATACAAATTGTAATCTGCGCAATAGAGGATTACACAATGTATACATCTGTAAGCATCAATGCTAAATAAATGATCTATGCGAGTGATAATAAGTAAATATTATACATTCTCAGTAGCCAGATAACTAAATATAAATGTTTATATTTAAAAGTAAATGCCCAAACCTTCGCAAATTCGTCGGCACTAATAAGGTTAACAATTTATTGAAAATAAGAGAAAACCCGTCTTAATCCATGTCACCGTGTGCTCTAAGCCTGAGAGGGCACTCTAGGGGTTAAAGGGCATTTGGAAGTACAGTGCGTTGCTCGCGTGAGCCGAACTGGCCTGTGGCTCAAAAGTGAAGAGGGACAAGGGGATTCGGCCAATAACAAAGACGTGCCGAAAGTAATTCCGCCATTACCATCGAGACGAGCGCCGCGAGTAGACGTCTCCCCTTGGCGTTCTTCGCTTTTGACACTAAATTTACGGACATTTAGTGTACAGTGTGATAATGAGCGGCATTGAAGCAATATCAATTTACCACACGCAATAATCCCAAGCCTGGTATCACCACTACTGCAGTGTGTGCTCAGCTTGGGGTTAACCCCTTGCCATACAATGACGAGTGAGATTCGCGATGAAGATTTCGGGATTAGTTTAATAAACATCAATGTTGCTGAACGCGAATTAAATACTATTCTATAATTAATCGTTATGCTTTGAAGTAAAGGATGATTTGAGAATTTTCCTTAATTTTTTGATAAATTATTCAAGACAAAGTTAACCCTTTTCAAGACAAAGTTAGTCAATTATTTTTGCTGCGAATTAAACACTATTCCATAATTAATCGTTATACTCCGAAGTAAAGGATGAATTGACAATTTTCCTTAATCTTTTGATAAATTATTCATTACAAAGTTAACCCCTTTCAAGGCAAAGTTACTCAATTATGTTTGCTGCGAAATAAACACTATTCCATAATTAATCGTTATACTCCGAAGTAAAGAATGAATCGACAATTTTCCTTAATCTATTGATAAATTATTCATTAAAAAGTTACCCGAGCAAGTTACAAAAGAAATCACAAGAAGTTAACACGTTGACTGCCACGGTGGTCACCGATGACCGAAGCTTTCAAATTACTTGAAAACAATTATAATTTGCCAGATAACTGACGTCGAATGACAATGTTCAATAGTGTCAATAAAGAGAGAATAATGTATCGTTCCTTTCCATCTTTGCCACAAAAGAATAAACGATACATAAAACTCAAGTTTTTCGTGGCATGCAACGTGTTAATCGGATCGCGTTCGCAGACGAATTAACAGAAGACGTGTCCGCTTAATTGTCCATTCTACTTCATGTGGAAGTTTTATTTGAAGATAGTACAATGATAATAGCAAAGTAGTTGTTTGCTTTGATCCGTGGGTAATGAATAACATCGATTGTTGTTAAATTAGTCTAGAAATCTTCATCACGAGTCTCGCTCGTTATTGTACGGCAAGGGGTTAATCGGATCGCGTTCGCAGACGAATTAACAGAAGACGTGTCTGCTTAATTGTTCTCGACCGCGAAGACATGGACGCGCTGAGGATGCTGGATTTGGTGGTCCCTCAGTACGTGGTCCGCGGGCAAAACATCACGCTGGAATGCAACTTCAACCTGGACGGCGAGTCACTGTACTCGGTGCAGTGGTACAAAGACGGGAACGAGTTCTACCGATACGTGCCCCAGGACAAGCCGCCGGTGCTCGTCTTTCAGCTGCCTGGTGTCACGGCGAACGTAAGAATTACTTCCTATTGATTTTTCTCTTGCCCGTGCCAATGCACTGCTCTCCCTGCCTCCGCTTTCTATTTAAAGCTTTTCTCTTTTTATATTTGCCCGGTGAATTTCGCCGATTCCGTCTCGTCGTCCTTGGAACCACCTGCGAAAAGGATAATTTTTTATTAGAGACATTATAGAAACCGCGTTGATAATTTGTTTATTCTTTTTCTTTATAAATCATGAATGCTTCTTTGCCTCGTACGGGTTCTTATATTTTTCATTCGATTGCTAGGGAACTTTGAGTTGTAGGAAGGGTTTCGAAATAGAATTATTATGCAGTTTATTTCTCGAAGTATCTGCCTTTTCAATAATTATAAAAGAAAAAATTAGGAATGAGCCATTTTGAGCCATCTGGAAGTTGTAGTGTTAAACGTCCAACTTTGCTGTGTCAAATGAAATGACTGAGAGTCACCTTTAACCCTTTGTAGTCGAGAGGTGGCTCTCAGTTGCCATTTCATTCGATATAACAAAGTCACAAAGTGTTATATAATATTAATATTGTTATAAAATATTTCTATAGAACTGCTTTGATCCTTAATTTACGTATATTTTCTAATTAATTCCTTCCTAATAGTTAATACAAAGAGTCAACCCTTTGCACTCGAGAGGTGAGACATTTCATTCAATATAACAAGATTACAAATTAATATTAATTTCAATACATAAAACATTTCTATAAAGCAGCTTTGTCTCTTAATTTACATGTATTTACTCATTAGTTTCAAATAGTATCATCTATATCTCGCCAGAAACCGTCGAATGTTTCTAATGAAAATCTAATGAAAATCACTTAAAATTTGTCATTGCAAACTGTAAAATCTTGTCATTAAATATCTCATAATATTTATAATCGATGAAAGACAGTAAACATCTATGACTTTTCTTTTCGTATTTCTCTGAGAAATCATTAAAGAAATTCATTTAGCACTACGCAAATTGAATTGTATATCAAAGTCTGAACAGTTGCACTCTTGGAGTTTCTACAGCAAAATTCTCAAAAGTCAATTGCAGTGCTCGGTAGTTTCAGTGTTAACCCTTTGAACTCTAGGCTCCAACATTGCACCAGTTATAACATTGAACATTTTAATGAATCAAAGAAACTACCCTAAAATTATTAAATTTTCCACGCATCCAAATTTTCTAACAAGGAAAATAAAAGATCGAAGGAATGTTATAGCATTTTTCATTTTCACTAGAGATACTATAAAAATTAGTTTCTGATAGATTACAATACCATCTGTAGTGCTAAGGGTTAAAATTACATCGAGTTGCTGGTAATTTCAGTGAGAAAAAGGTTCGAGTGCAAAGGGTTGAATAAAAATACCCAGACGAGGATCATCACCCTTTGTCTATTCGCGTCTGCACCTTGAACTTCATCGATTCCCTAGCAAAGAAGTTGATCTTCCTCTGGCCGAGGCTTGATTAAAATAATAGAAGGTTTATCGTGCCTTTAACAATACATTCGACGAGTTCCATTAGTGATTCCCTCGTCAAAGGGATGTATAACTTCCATTTAACGGTCACGTTTCTACCCTAACCTCAACTTTGGTCTCTACCCCCACCCCTCTATTCGTAGCCAGGCACCCTATCAACGTTTGTTCCACGAATCTTCGGGCTCGAACGATTCATGGAACAACGGGTCGGGTTAATTGATCGGTTAATTGGCCAAGACACGCCTGTTATTTTTCTCCTCTTTGTCTTTCAGATTCACAATTCCACGGAGAGATCGGTCGTCCTCTATTCCGTGAATCTGATGAGCACCGGAAGATACAGATGCGAGGTGTCGGCCGAGGCGCCATCTTTCCCGACGGTGTCCGAACACTCAGATATGGTGGTTGTCGGTAAGATTCACCCCTTTGCCTTGTAATAACGTTTGAGACTCGTGGTGAAGATTTTGACTAGTTAACTGTCTTTGACGAGTATACTCGTCATCGAGAAGTTGCGGGATTTTGTGCCATGACGAGTACACTATGGTAAAAAGTAGTGACCATTGGCTTTTCACAGAAATTACAATTTAACCCTTTGAACTCTGTAGGCTCTAGTATTGCACCAGGAATAATATTAGATATTTTAATGAATCTTAAATAAACTGCCCTACAATTATTAGATTTTTCCCACATGAAAATTTTGCACTAAGGGAAATAAAGGATCTAAGGAATGTTATAGCATTTTTCATTTTCGCTAGGGATACCATAAAAATTAGTTGCAGTTGGTCGCTACTTTTTACCGTGACGAGTATACTCGTCATGACACAAAACCCTGCAACTTCTCCATAACGTTTCCGTTCAAGCCATTGGATATTGTCATTGTGAAATGAAGAATTTATTAAAAATGTATTATGCAGTCAATTATAGGCATCTTTATGTAATGTTATTAAATTTAGAAGATTTATTGTAACGTTAAAAAATTCGGTTCCCAATCGGCAAGAAACTGTACTGTAAAAGTTGCAACATTTTGTAATAATTGTGTGTATAAACCACATTATGTTCGCCATGTTTTAACAAAATTCACCGTAACATCCCTTCCTGATTATATACAAACTTGTCACCTAAATATAATATTAAATATATTTCAACTAAAATGTTTTATTTTAAACTAATATAAACATCATAAAAAAATATTACGTGCGAGGATGCGACTCGCTCGGTAGAGTAATATTCAGCCAGGTATTTGTTAAACTAATTCCTAGAAAAATAAATTTATTGCTTTGTTGTATTTCAATTATTTGACTGGTTCTCTTTCGAACACATGTTACGAATTTTACTGATTTTTCTTTTCTAAATTATAATCCGATTTGAGATTATAAACACGTGTTAACAATGATTGTAGGACTCGATGATACTAACGGGTCTTTGAAAATTTCCAGCCCTACCGAAGGTCGGTCCCGTTATCACCGGAAAGCAGGGCAGGCATCATTATCAACTCGGTGACGTGGTGCGGTTCAATTGCACTTCGGAGAAGTCGAAACCAGCCGCCATGCTCAGTTGGTTCATCAACGGGGAGCCAGTAAGTGACTTACGTAGAATCCCCCATGGCTCGCTTTAACGTCATGAGATTGCTTGGGAAAATAAATGAGGTGCAGGGTGTGACACTGCTACAAACACTGAAGAATCTTGTACACCGTTTACTATCATTGAGAGATAATATACTTATTTTTAAAAATTGCTACAAATGATACTTAGAGAAATATCTTTTTAATTTTTTACTCACTGTACGTCACATCCTGTACTTAAATTAAGCTTCAAGAAAAAATCCGAATTACAGTAAAGGAGGTATATAAATGCAACAATAAATGAGGTGCAGGGCGTGACACTGAAGAATCTTGTACACTCAGTACAATCTTTGAGAGATAATATTCTTGTTTTTTTAAAATTGCTACAAATGATACTTAGAAAAATATCTTTTTAATTTTTTACTCACTGTATGTCACATCCTGTACTTAAATTAAGTTTCAAGAAAAAATCTAAATTACAGTAAAGGAGGTATATAAATGCAACAATAAATGAGGTGCAGGGTGTAACACTGAAGAATCTTGTACATCGTGTACAATCTTTAAGAGATAATATTCCCTACATCATCAGAGGAAAAAAAGTCATTCCCAGACGAGACAACGTACACGTGGACAACGTGCGTGTAAGCTGAACCGGCTGGTTTTTGGTTGCGTCAGGTCGACACGCAGTATCTGAAGGGGCCCCACATCGTAGAGGTGGATCGCGAAGGTTTGGAGACAGCGGTGCTTGGCCTGGAGTTCTGTCTGCATAAGAAGAAGCACTTCAAGAGGGGAGACTTGAAGATCAAATGTCTGGCGACGGTGGCGACCGTGTATTGGAAATCGAATGAGCTCAGCATAGAGGTTGAAAAGCCCCTCAAGATGTCGGTAATGGAGAGCAGGGAGACAAGGGCGCAAGGGCACACGCACGCGGAACATATCTTGGGAGGTAAATATAATAGAATAATAATTAACCCTTTGTACGCGAGAGGTGACTCTCTGTCATCATTAGAATTGATATAACAAAATTGCAAAGTGTTATGTATGATATTGGTCCTTTGTACTCGAGAGGTGACTCTCTGTCATTATTTGAATTGATTATAACAAAATTGCAAAGTGTTATGTATGATATTGATCCTTTGCACTCAAGAGGTGACTCTCTGTCATTATTAGAATTGATATAACAAAATTGCAAAGTGTTATGTAAAATATTAACCCTTTGCACTTGAGAGACAACTCACAGTTGTCATTTGGTTTGATACAGTAAAATTACAAAGTTTGATGTTCAACATTAAAGTTCATTTAACGTAACTACCCATGAAACATTAAAATAGAAAAGTTTCTATATTATTTATATTAATATTAATTATAAAACATATCATTGATATTTCATTATAAAATCAGGAATATATCTAGTGAACAAATCTTCACTGAAAACACTGAGTTCCTAAATATAGTGTCGTTTATTGTTTCTAATAACAATATCCATAAAATTAATTTCATTTTCATTATGTAAAATATAGGATTACGACCGTAAATATGTGACGCTGGTAGCGAACGTGTTAATGACTTGGTATTTTATTTCAAAAATCAGTACAGTCCATCAACAAAATATAATCGAAATTTCCATGGAACGTGTTAAGTGAAAGGAACATTTTTATAATTCTCCCCTGTACCATCCCTCCGAAAAGGTGCCAATTAAATCTACGATTTCGAGAGATTATGTCCGATTATCCCGAGGATCTTAGGCCCGAGGTTTTCGAGGAACACATGAGGTTTTCCTGGAACCACTGGAGGGGTAACGGAACTGACCTGCCGAGGAACCGGCAGATTTTCCATAAACGAGTCATTTTTGTTACAACCTTCGTACGAAACACTTCGATTAGCACTCGCCTTCGCAGTGAAATATATTCTCGCGTTTATCAATAAGTAAATTAATTTTCAACTATATGGCAATGTTTTATAATTTCTAATTACTAATATTATTATAAAAAGATCCTTATTCCCACGGAACAATTAAAAATTCTATAAAATCCACTGAAATCTTCAGAAATCTCAAACAATAATAGTAAACAATAACTGAAGAAATAGCTTTCATAAAAAAATGTTTAAAAAACGGTTCAACGGCAGTTCAATTTAACAAATATAAATGCCACTTAATCCTTTCAAATCCGAATCGAATATTTTCCATTATTAATTGTAACGCTTCAAAGTGAACGTGGACATAGAAACGTAGAACTTTATTAACAGAAAACAAAAGTTCAATTTTTTTTAAATTTAATTTAATTTTAATTTATTAGAAGAAAACAAAAGTTTAATTTTCTTTTAATTTAATTTAATTTTAATTTATTAGAAGAAAACAAAAGTTTAATTTTCTTTTCTTTTCTTTTCTTTTTAATTTAACTTAATTTTAACTTATTAGAAGAAAAGAAAATTGCGAACAATAAAATATCTTTGTTGAGTTGTACAACAATTAGAAAAGAAACCATAGGGCAAGGGGTTAATGGTGAAATGTTTGTTTGTTTCAGGAAGTGGAAGCAGCACGCTAGCACCATGCATCCTGACGATGATCGCCAGCCTATTCGTGCTACGATAAGAAGAGGATGCCCGGTGTTCGTCGTTTGTGCTCACCCCCCACCCTCTTCAACCTCCACACCCCCATTTAGGCCTCCGATGGAAGCTGTGCGAAGATCACTGTGTACTAAATTAACCGTGTTGTTTCTATTTTTTATAAAGATGCAGTTAGTGGAGTTAGCAGGACATAAATCAGATTCATACCGGGTGTCCTGAAAAAAAGAACCACCAGAAACACGGTTGTCAATACCTTCAGAATCGAAAGAATTCTTCATTTATATTTCACCCTTTGAGGTCCATTGATTTTATTAGAGTGCCAGTAGGTCCAAGTGAATTTAACGAAATAAGTCAATTTGAATTGATGAACAAAAAAATACAATTGTAATGAATTCATGTATTTGCTAATGAAAACAAATTATAATTTAAAATTGGTTAACATATGGTCTTTTGAAACAATTTCCTATGTGAATTGCAATTGCATGAACTGTTATAAGTATGTCAATGGAATATGTCCAGTGGTACTTGACAGTGGACCTGTTCAACAAAAATATGATGTCCAGTGATACAGTGGACCGCAAAGGGTTAAACGAGCAATACACGTGTTTCAAGGTGGTCGTATGTTTCTTTTTTTTGGACACCCCGTATGTATATACTTAGCCGAGTACACACGTAATTGGAGCGTTAGAAATGAGGGGTTACGTACAATTGTCGGACCACGAGTCTGTGTACACCTACTGTTGTTCCTTACAGAGAATTTTTATAGAGGTAGAGAGAACCTTTAATAGAGATTCAACGAATTCTTCGTTCGGATTTTCATCTAGAAGAGGGAGGAAAAAAAAATGTGTGGAATTCTATTCGATTTTTACGCTCGCGGATTTTTGTAGAGATTCACGGTCTCTCGTGCCGATGATTGTTTAATTATCTTCAACTCGCGGACGTTCCTTTGAATCGAGACAGTTTTTCCTTTTCGTTCTCCAGGTGTTTGTCAAGTCAATTTTTGATGAGTGTGTTTAGCGCACAGATTTCTGGTACGG